TAACAGTTGGAGTTGGGTCCTTCTCTGTCCACTTGAATATGGTACATTTCCTGCTTCCAAAGAATACTGACATTTTCTTAAACCATTTCTACATTTCATGTCAATGTATAATCACAATGCTGGGACCTCTTGCTTGTAAAAGGCACTGGAGAATTCCCTAGTTACTTCACTGCCATGAATTTTTTTGCTAAAATGAAGAATCACTACTTTTGTCTGTGCCCTGCTTGTTCTAGAAAGGATGTAGTAAGATAGCTATAATCATTACCTAATTGATTTTTTCTTGCTCCCATGCTCCCCTCCTCTACTTTATAAGCTAACGTCTTTGTGCTGATTTCTTTATGAGTAACCATACATTCATATTTATCAAGACAATATTCGTCTCCCAAAAAGGGGTGAAGCTTGATCTGTTCATTCAACAAACTGTTAACGAGTTTCTCCCAGCTGGATGGCCACAGATCCCACTTCACCCAGCTGATAGCGTAGTGGGGACACTCAGAACAAACAGGCAAGTACAACAGAGTGAGATGCATGCATGGCAGAGGGACAGAGAATGCTCTGGACCACGCCCCAGCGATGCCTCCTCCAAACTTGGGAGATCAGAGAAGCTTCCCGGAAGTGGCGTTAGTTGAAAACATGAAGCATTATAAGCCACTTGAAGGCAATATGAATAGTAACGCCAACGGAACACCAGGTGGAATCAACCTAAATAGTGTACCCAAGTGAGAGTCAACTTCTGAATCCAGATATGACATGTGGTTATCTTACCACTGCCCCCATGTAATCCACGGACTGGCCACAATTCACCCTAAATGCTAAGTTCTGTAACATATTTCCAGTTCCTTTATTTCTAAATATTTTTGCTTTCTCTGAACACAAATTGTCCTATTCACTATCTTTACCCACATCCCAGCTATGAAGCATTTCAACTCAACCCAACAAGGGCCTATGTGGGAGACAATGTGATGAATATGGGATGTAGGGAGGGGAGCGCTGGGGCCCCAGCACAAGGACCACATAACCACAGAAGCGCAGAACTGAGAAAAGCCAGGTGACTATCCACTGACCATCCCACTCCCCACAAACCGTGCAGAGGTGACACAGCCCTACCACTCCTGCTTGTGAAACAAACACCCCCACTCTGAACTTATCTGAGGTTCGATACATTTTTCTGGACCCTGTGTCTGTCCTGTTCTAAAAACAGCAGAATGGGGCCTTGCTGTCAAAGCAAGTAGTTAAAGGACCTAACAGTTGGGTCCTTTTCCTCTGTCCATATGAATATGGTACATTTCCTGCCTCCAAAGAATACTAACATTTTCTTAAATCATTTCTACATTTCATATCAATGTATAACCACAATGCTGGGACCAAAGAAAAATAATCAGTTTTGACCATTTGCTTTTCCAAAAATCCCTGGACATTCTACAAGCTAACTGAATAGTTGGATGAAATTACTTTTTTAAATCTCTTCCAATCCTGAGATTTTATGATTCTATGACATAATTGGAGCCATCTTTCTTTGAGGGCTCTAGCCCAGTAAAATTATCCCAGACTATGATGTTATTATAGAATAAATATTGGATTGGCATTTCAATAATATTTGGTTTTTCAAAGTTACCAGACATAATCTCACTGTCAGTGGGCAAAACTGCAGCTACATGTGTAAGTAAACCCAGCCTGGGCCATACTCGGTCATGTGATTTACAACCAAAGACAGAGGGTTTTACTTCAAAAGATCCACTGAACATAAAATTTAACTAACACAAAAGAATGCCCTAAATGTTGTGGATGGTATGATACTTCACATCTAAGGGTGTAAAATTATTTTGCTATTGCCTGGTCAGTGTGGTTCAGTGGTTGAGCGTAGACCTATAAACCAGGAGGTTGCGGTTCGATTCCTGGTCAGGGCATATGCCCGGTTGCAGGCTCGATCTCCAGTGGGGAGCATGCAGGAGGCAGCTGATCAATGATTCTCTCTCATCATTGATGTTTCTATCTCTCTCTCCCTCTACCTTCCTCTCTGAAACCAATAAAAATATAAAATTAAAATAAATAAAATAAAATTATTTTGCTATCTTTTCCCAACTGAATCTAATTATGTTTTGAGATCTGAGTACTAGAAAATACCAAAATTGCATTCAGTCTTTTAGGCTTTTTTAAATAAGTCTTACAGGCATGTAAGCGAGAGCTATGCTCACCCTCTTGTGCTACATAGCCTCATCCATATCTTTGGTGCACCACACTTTACTCATCGAAAACGGAAAGCATATTGATAAGATACACATCTTCACAACAAAAAGCTCAACTTGTAGCTCAAGAGATCATTCAAAACATAAAAAAAGAAGCCACCTTGCTCAAGTCCTTCACCAGGTGTGCAATATCTAGGGTAAGATTACACCGGAAGTATATGTGCTCTTCTGAGCCAATATTCTCTTCCACTACTCTGGAAACAATATTATAATTAAGGCTGTTCCTGACAGCAAGCAACTAACCATCTGGGTTCAAACCCAGCCTCTTCTTCCACTTCCTAGCCGCGTGACCCTGGCAAGCAATTTAATCTCTCTGGGCATTAATTTCCATTGGGGGAGGGGGAAGATATAATCATGATTCCACTTTCTCCAGAAGGTTGTTGTATTATTTCAATAATACCCTCACCTCAGTCTCTAGTTTGCTTTAAACCAGGTGCTTTAAGGAATTCTGAAAGGGTTACTAGAATATAGGAAAATAAACATGGAGAAGCCACTGAGTCCTAAAGAGAAAGATTTTGGAATTGCAATGGCTCCATTGATTGAGTCACATTTAATTAAGTCTGGAATTTCCAAGGACAAAAACAGATCTTTCCAACAGACAAAAAAAAACCCACAGGCTAGTGGGATCAGAGTTGGAGAGTTCCTAAGAAGTTGCTCTTGAGGACTGGGGTGGTAACAGCGAATAGCACTCTGTTGAAATGGGAGGGAAGGGACAGATTCTGCCATCAACTGGAAGCAATCTTTTTACATCATCCTCCCTCTCAATATTTCAGCTCTACCGCTAAGTCTGGGAGAACCAACTCTAAACACTGTATAAACTCGGGAACACTGGGAGAGGGGGAGAGAAGCGAATGCCAGTGTACAGGACAGTCAGCGAGACTGCTACTAAGTCACTGTGAACATCTCAATGGACCACACTTGGTGCATTTGGGGCTACAGAGTTAACCCCTCCACTTCTCCATGACTGACTCATTGCTACTATGTTTGGATAAAAACTAAAACTGTCACCCAAGCAACATCAGTCTCATTAGAAGAAGAGGAACCACCAGCATCAGCAAATATAATGACCCTTTTGAAGGCAGCTGGTTGAGGACCTATGAATCATTTTGCAACACCCAGACAGGGCAAACCACATCAACAATACATCTAAACAAAAAGCATCGACACCACCACCAAAAACAAAGTGATGACTTGTCAGCACTCCAGTTCTTCTTTCCCTAGCAGGCCTACTGGTGACGCACCTCATTCATTTTTAAATCATATTCAGAGTAAGTCTCCGCCGACCTGTCCAATGAAGACCTCGAGTCAGGCCACACCTGCAGATGTCACCAACAGTTCACTCTCCTAGTGGGTGGGACCTCAGCCCAAAGTACAGAGCAGGAAAGACCTGAGTTGAAGCAGCTGGGGAAGCCGAAAGCAATGAAGGCCTGTGTCAGGAGGTCAGCAGACCAGCAGGCCCAGGCCAGAGGAAATCGTTGCTGCTGGCCATCCTGCCTTAAGTTCTGGGAGTTACAAGTCACATGCTGCCTCAGGTCTTTTTTGTTTGTTTGTTTGTTTAAATATATTTTTATTGATTTCAGAGAAGAAGGGAGAGGGAGAGAGAGAGACATCAATGATGAAGGAGAACCATTGATCGGCTGCCTCCTGCACGCCCCATCCTGGGGATCAAGCCCGCAGTTTGAGCATGTGCCCTGAATGGGAATTAAACCGCGAGCTCTTGGTTTATAGGTCGGCGCTCAACCACTGAGCCACGCCGGCCCACCACTGAATTTTCTGAGACCTGAAGTCAATAAAGATTGATGCAAGTGCATAATCTTCATTGCCCTCAAGCCCATAACTGGTAAAGCCTGAGTGTGGCTAAAATAAGGCTCAGTGAAAGCACATTCATCCCCTCTATTCACTCTCCCATTGTTTCCTTTCTCAAGGCTTCAGTGCCACCTCTCACTGCTCTCTCTGAGACTTACTTCCAGTTCCACATCAATAATTCCTTCCTTCTGCCACATGCTGACGCTTGCTCAACTAGCGATCCTGTCGCCAAGCTTTCCATTTCTCACACCCCCTGATTATTTGGGACGTGTTGAAGGATCCATTAGGTGATAAGGAATAACCTCACATGATCCCACTCAAGATTTTAGAATCTCAGTGGGAAAAATCTTGCTATGGAGGCAGTGTTTCCCCAAAGGCCCAGCAGTCTATGTGCACTACACATGAGCCGCGGGCACTGAACATGCATCTGCCTCCTCGCGGGCTGTAGAAAGGAGGTAAGAGTGGGACACCTGCCACCCCCCACAGGAAGCAGATTTGGAATGGTCTGTCCCCTGAGCATTGTGGGTACTCCATTTCGGAGTAAGAGAGGGGCTGTCAGCATCAGCAGAAGGGAGACCGGGAGAGAAAAGGGTGCCATTTGGACAAAACTGCTTGTGGTTCTTGTCTATCAGAGTGCTGCTTTCTGGTCCTATTCTTCTGTGTCACCTTCTGCTCCTCCGTCCCAACTCTATTTGCCAAATACTTCAAGATGTTTCTAAGAGGCTCTGAATTATTGAGGAACCTGGGGAAGATGCTTTGGGAAAAATTAAGTGCAAAAACAGACAGCCCTGTACAGCTGGTGCAAATACTTGGTCATTGGCAGTTTCTTTCTACGGCGGAAAGGGAATGGGGGGAGAGGGGGAAGCCAGCCTCTGCTAAATAATAATGAGATTCACAGAACAACAGACACAGCAGCTCCAAAGTTCACATCTCTCCGGCTTCACTCACCCCGAGCCACCTTGCTCCTTTATTGGCAGCCTGTTGAATCTGGACTCGCTTCAGGGTGACATGGTAGACAGCTCCTTCCTCTACCTCTTCACCCCAGTCCTGAATCGAGCTCTATCAGGGAATGGGAAAGAGAAAGAAAAAGGTTGTTTTGTTTTGCTTTGTTTTGTTTTTCCCTCCTCTCTGCAAACCGCAATCTCTCCCAGCTGCGTTGCTGCTTACCCCAGCACTCAGGGCAAAAGACAGTCTGTTCAAAATAAATATTACAATCAGAGCCATGCAAGACACATTGCGATAAAGGGAACGCTGAGATTTTCTTGGCCCCCAGCCCTTTCCTGTGGTATCAGGATCCCCGGACTTTTCCATTTAGTTATTTTCCTAGACTCACTCACATATCTTAAATAATTTTTAAGGTGTGTGGTGTGTTGTGTTCTTCCTTCCCCAGGGGGATAGTTTTTTCTTCTTAAAGAAACTCTGGTTTAGTCCTGATTAACTTTTCCTCCTTAAAGGAAAGAAAAAACAATTCCTTGGTAGAAAAAAAGTTTGTACTTTTAGAAGCGGCTCCGTTATTGGAGCGAACTACATTTTAAAGTCAGACACAAACAAGCATTTAAAATGCCAAGGGTCCTCACGCTTTTGGAAGTCAACCGCTTCCCATCGCCTTTCTCTCCTCTTATTGTTCGGGGGACCCAACAATTGGGGGGGGGGGGGGGGGGGGGGAGTTTTCATTTCCATAAAATCCTCTGGCAAGTGCAGAAGAAGCGACACATCATCACGCAGCTTCTAGTAAGACGTGATGGGATTCCATGTCCCGGGCTGAGCTTCAAGTCCGCGTTAAAGAGCCGCCGGGCACAGAGCGCTCCGCGGTTCGCCCCGACTCTTTCTCCTTAAAAGTTGTCCCTCCGGACAGACATCTGCCCCCCACACACCGCCGGCAAGAGCTGAGAAAGGGGGGCTCCCGGGAAGCGAGCAGACCCGCGGCGCCGGAGGCACACGGGCGGAGCGAGAAGGCTGAGCGCCCGAGCAGGGACGGGCGCTCCGTTCACTCGGAGGGAGTCCCGAGCGCCCAGAGCCAGCGGGAGAAGCTTCCCCGGCGGAGCGGGAGAGGCAGCGTTCCGTTACCATTTTAGCTTGCCAGAGCAATTTCATTCTCAGTGTTCCCTCCGGTTC